AAAGTTTCTGAAGATGTAATTATTCATTCTTGGCAAAAAACAGGTATTCTTCCTTCTACAGAAATTGATGAATTTATGGATTCAGAATCTCTTGTTGATTTAACTAATGAAGAAAAAATAGAGTTAGAAAATCTCATTACACAATTTCAAAATTCAAAAAATCCTAAAAACCCTGAATACTTAAATATTTCTACACATGAATTTATTGAAATTGAGAAAAATTATACAACAGGTGAAATGCCTATGGTCGAAGATATTATAGTAGAAATACAAGAAAATGAGCCTGAAGAAGAACCAGAGCGGCAAATTAAACCTGTTACAGCAATTCAAGCCATTACAGGATTGGATTCAGTATTAGGCTATATTGAACAACCAGGGTCAAGTCTTGAGATTGATATTAAAGTTTTCTCAGAACTTAAGCAGATACAAAAAGAGCTTGCTTATCTAGTAAAAAAGAATTCTAAACAAACAAAATTAGACTCATTTTTTTATTAGAGAATAATTTTATTGAAAATTTTGATATCTATTTTTTTTTCTAACAAAAAACTAATTCGTTTTTTGTTAAATTAAAGAAATTTTATGTATTTTTTGTTTTACTTTATTTTTTTTGTTCTACTTTATTTTTTTTTGTTCCATATTATATTGTAGGTATACTTTTTTTTTTATAATTAAATTATATAAAAAATAGGGCATCATAAAGAAGCTGTAGTATAATCTTAAGTAAGAGAATTTCAGATCTGATTTTTACTGTATCTTACTATATGCTATTAATAATCGAGGTATAAATTAAATAAATCAAATTCTAAAATTTTCTATTATTATTGCTCGATCTATTTATTACATGTTTCAGAGAATACACATATGGGAATATGGTTCGCTAGAATATCGCTACTACATAGCATGAATAATAAGCTTTTAACTATGAAGTAATCACCAATATAATAAGCTTCTAACTATAAAGTAATCACTAATATAAACAAACAGATAGCAATTAAGCATAAGATAGATAATTGGTA